TGGCGTCAGGTCCGAAGTGGCGACACTCGGATCAGTCGGCGGCGTTTGGGCTGGTCGGGAGGCGTGCGGTGTTCGAAGATTGGGGTGGAGAAAACACCGGAGGCGGGGGCAGTGCTGGACGGTTGCCGGAGATAGGTGGACTCGGGGATGGGTGTTAGGCGGTGGAGGAGGTCAGAGGGTCGGCGGTTTTGAAGAGGAGCAGGAGTACGTTGATGGGTTCTGGGATTTTGTGATGAGGGAGAAGATGAACAGTGCGATTTTGAATTTTCTTTTGTTTTTTTTTGTGCTGTAGAAGAAACGAATCTGAACTTGCTAGGGTTTCACACCTCAATTGAGCAAATCAATTTCATTTTCATCTTCAATTGACGTTCTCTGATTACAAGAGTTTCTTAAGTAGGAATTACAGTTTTTGGAATATCTCCTAAATCCCACAAATCACTCCCATAACCAATTACATTCAATCAGCTCAATAACTACCAAATCAGAATCAAAATTCGAAATTTTGAAATTCAAAATTTAAAATTCAAACTAATTTATTACAACTGAATTCAAAACCATAATGCTGCAACATGGCGCCTCCTGCGCTGATAAACTCGGCGAAAATCTCGTGTACGCGTCCGGATGTCCCCATCAGTACAAAGATAAAAGAATGGTAACTACAACAAGCATAAAATTCTTAGCTATTAATTCTTAGCTATATTAATGTCCCAGCAACGGATGTGAGAAGAATCCTTCCTGCGCTTTCAGACTTCAGTATATACATTTCTCAAATAGAACATATGTCCTTTTGTGAATCAAGGCGGAACAATTAGCGAAGAGCCCAACTTAGCCTGAGGTTGGCGTTTATCAAATACACATGTTATTGGAGAACAGGGGTTAAGAAGCATTTACACGAGACCACAGTTATATAAGGTACTTGAAATATGGAACACTTCCATTAGATGAGATTAAATAAGTCAGCAGCGTGTGTATAAGAAATACTAATTCTTATTTTTGCAACACTAAATGGGTAAACGAGAACTCTAGGGAGATTGACATTACAAGGTATAATTACAGATAGACAAATATAAGCAGAGAAATACTCAAACAACCGAAAATAAATATGGAAATAAAATATTGTAATCGTGCAAATAATTTGCAGAAAATGGCATATGTATCTTTCTCTATATGCACATGTTTAATTATACACATACGTTATATCTCAACATCCTTTATACACAAATACATACTTCTTCTCCCTGTCTTTCTCTCTCCCTCTCAATTAGAGATTCTACAATAGGGAAACCCTATGTCCTGTTAATTCTTTAAAGGTTTGACTTCGATTAAGAAATATGATAATCCTTCCCATATTTTGACTAAAACTGCAAATGTCAAAGGTAACTTCTAATTAAATCTTAGCTTGATTGAACTCCTAACTATCCTATTAGAGGTAATTTAGTTGATCAGTTACTTATTTGCATTGATCGCGCTTAAAGACCAAATTGACGCCAAATCTTACCAAATTACAGCCTGCATAAGTTTAAAGTTTGAATTATGTATTTATGTATATAGGATGAAAACACCAATGACAGTTTGCTTCTACCAAAGTTCATCCTTGAACTCAAGATCTCTTTCCATCCTACAGAGGGACCCAAATGTCTTGAAGAGGGTGAAAAACACACCAAATGCTTGAAATCTACAAGTTGTCTTTTCCTACATATTGAACTACTGCTCACGTCAGATTTTACCTCTAAAATAAAAAACTGACTACACGCTAACGTTCACCACATCCCAATCATGATGTATCACACCAGTGAAGTTTTTCCAAAATTTGATGTTATATACATGAGGCAAACAAAATAGTTACCTCATATGTATTGAGCTTTCCTTCGCTACTCGGAGACTTGAATCCTCAGGTGGCAGGAGCTTACACAACGACAATGCCTCCTCAAAATCTCCAGATGCAGTTAACTGTACAATCTGTGAAATAGAATGCACAATGTACACATGAAATGATATACATCAAAGAACATTACTTGCTCTAGTAAGTGGCCAACATAACTGCTAGTATTTTCAAGCATGTCAAACACAGTTAACTTGTTATAAGTGGCATTTTTCTTAGATCATGACATCTTTAACAATAGACAAGTCAATGTACTGTTAGACACAAATAATACAGCACCACTGTAAAGAACTTCTAGATCTGATACTAGTCAAAAGCTTTGAATGAGAGTTTAATAGATGGGAACACATGGAGGTTTTCTATATATAAATATGACAACAAGTTTTAATGCATAATTTCTGAAGTCCAATGAAAATAAACCATAACGTAACATCTAACGGTATTAGTCATCAGAAAGATGTCAATGCTAGCTCAAGTTAAAAATATCACTAAACTGATGAGTTTACGCTGATATTTTGTATTGAATTTCACAGAATTTTAAGATAACATGTTGACCTCAGAGGCAGAAACTATTATTTCAAGATGTATGCTTTTCATCATGCTAATCTCAGAAGAATAACTTCACTTCAAATAGGATCCTGACTCAAGACATGTTCCCCTAACCATTAGGTGATTCAAATTATGTAGGAAAATGGTCCATAAAATTCTGCTACCTAATGATCCTACTCCATCAAAAAGAACAATTCATACATAAGTCGCAACAAAGGGGTTCCTAATTTATCTGGAGCATGCCATGAGTTCACACAAACTATTGTCAGAATGGGACTGCATTGTATCCACTCAATGCATTGAAAGGGGTCTCGAAAACAAAAATCTCAGAGACTTCAGATCCATCTGGTCATTATTGGTTGCGTGCTTGCGCATCACTCAAGCAACCAAAAGAATGACTCGCTTTTTTTCTCTTTCTTTGTCTTTTTGAGAACAAAGGTGTAGACCCCTGCCTCAAAATGAATTGGCTAGCAGATAATAAGAGATCTAAAATGTAGCTTCCTTACTGGTAAATATACAGAGCATCCTATAACTGATGTATCTCATCAAGCCTCAAAAAATTGTTGAAGAATAAGTATAGCTTCAACAGGTATGTCTTATGCATTTAACAAAGGTACCATATACATCCAATAGTATGATGAGAATATAAAAAATTGTTTGAGCAAAAATACTAGTGACTGACTTCATGAATAGACATTTGCATAATTAAATTACCCGGAGGAAACCGTTCCGGACGTATCCGAACCATCACATAATCACCAACATTAAATTCTTTAAACTTCTTTCTTAGATCTGCTCGCATTTTATAGTTAGCATTGCTGTCATTGATCTTCTTACTGATGTTCTTATGCAAGTCATGAATGCGAGATGCAAATGCAGATGCTGACTCAGATACTCTATGATGTGCAGATACGGGGACAAGATCTATAGGCTGTCTAGGCTTGTAACCATACACGACTTCAGCTGGACTGACACCTGTAGACCTATTAACAGAGTTATTATAAGCAAATTCAGCAGTAGGCAAATGTTGATCCCAACTCCTAAGATTCTCACCAACTAGCGATCTCAATAGGTTACCTAAGCTCCGATTGACTACCTCAGTTTGACCGTCAGTCTGGGGATGAAAGGCCGTAGAGAATTGAAGTTTAGTTCCCATTTTGTGCCAAAGGGTTTTCCAGAAATAACTTGTAAATTTAACATCCCTATCTGACACGATTGTTTTCGGAAGCCCGTGCAGTTTAACAACTTCGTTGAAGTATAGCTTGGCCACATGAGAAGCGTCGGAAGTTTTGAAACATGGTATGAAGTGGGCCATTTTGGAGAAGCGGTCCACAACAACAAAGATAGAATCGTGTTTTCTAATCGTTTTCGGGAGTCCTAACACGAAATCCATACTAACATCCTGCCATGGACAATTTGGCACAGGGAGAGGAGTGTACAAACCAGTGTTCTGTTTACGTTGTTTTGCCAATTGGCAGATGTGACATCTACTCACTAGTCTAACAAC